GACAGGAGCAGAAAATGGGTGATAGGCAGTGCAGGACCAAACAGGATGAAATAAACAGAAACTGAGGCAGGAAAAAACGTGAATGATCTTAAAACAGGGGCTGTGATATGAGGAGCAGAGGCTTAGGCAGATGGGGGGGGCAGCGGGGGCCGCTGAGCGTGACAAAAGGGACCATCTTAGCACCAACATAACTGGTTTGTTCCACTTTGGAGTAAGCTGTTGGGGGAAGAATCAGTTTTGTTGTGTGTTTCCTTGACTGATGAAGCCTTCTGGATGGAAGGTGAAACGTTTCAGCACAACAACAAAAAATAAACTGTCCAGATGACCTGACTGAAAATTGTTGGATTGTATACCTGGATTATTGAGCATGGACTTTGTTAGTCTCAGAGTAATCACTTTCTGTCTACAAATGAGCAAATTTTGGGTCCATTCAATTCAAAATGGCCACCACAAGAAGGCAGCGGGCGATATGCATTCCAGCAGAGAACACAGGGTCTAGTTATGTAGAAGTCTTTCCGTGTTTGAGGAAGAGTGATTCACTTTCTATATAGTTCTTGGATTAGTTCAGTAACAGATTCTTGTGAGAGTCTGGAGAATGAAAACATATTCTGTCTGTTCGCCTGTTGTTTCATTCAAAGCATTCATAAGAAGAAAATGTTTTTGTGTAAAAAGAAGTTTTGTTGTATTTTTTTTTTAAACCAGACTCAGGAGCAAATGAAGCCCTTATCAGTTTATTTATGTGAGCACAAAGCTGTGCAGTTCATCAGTATCTAATAAGACATTTGTTTCAGCAGAAGAGCGGGGATGCAGGAGACTTCACGTTGCTTTGAGTTAGGGGACGCAGCAGCAGGAAGCTCCACCACAAATAAAGACACACTTGACTGTGGCTCTGAGGCCTGCTGTTTATGATGAGAAATGGTTTGCTGCCATCCTGGCAGATGGGGAGAATCACCGTGATGAGTGTTATATAAGAGCGTGCTATAGCCATTAGAGCAAGCTGTTGGCTGTGAATGATAATCTGAGCAGGTTTTACACAAATACTGAGGAAACAAGCAGTTTAGATGAATGAAAATGTGCACTTGGATTCTTGGAGGTATTTTCACATTTGCAGCCATCAAAGCCCAAAAGTATCCTTAAAGATTTTGATAAAATATGGGGTTCTTTATCCCTTACTGAGTTTTCAGCTGTAAAAACTCTTGTCTCTGTTCTCAAACTCAGTAAGAACTTGTCATTTTATTTCCATCTGTGCAGGGAAAATGTCAAACATCCGCGCCGTCAGGAAGATGCAACAGCTAAATAACTTGGTTGCCATGGTCACAGAGCGAGCCAGGCCAGGTTGCACAGTTGTGGATTTCTGCAGTGGAACGGTACTGAAACATATCCATCGACCCAGCAATGCATACCCCCCCCCCCCCCCCCCACACACACACACACACACACACATAGATACACACATCACCACCACCCACCATCTGACCCTGACTCCATAATAAATGTTGTTCATTGGAGGCCAGCCGGGACTGAACATGTCCTCACATTCTGTCAGACTTTAGTTTTTCCAGTTGGATGTGTTTGGTCGTTGGACAATACACTCAAGTGCTCCTTCCATAGTTTGATACTAACAGGCCTAGAGCAGAGCCTGCTCTTCATGGTCACAGCAGGAAACGCTCCTCTGTTGATGGGTTGTGCTTTTTAATTCTTTGTGTTTCCTCTTAGGGTCATGTGGGGATCGTTCTGGCTCACACCCTTCCAGACTGCCAGGTAAAGTGTGTCTGACAAATTGTTCTTCTGTGCATGCATGCATTTTTGTTTCAGGTTACCTTGTAGGAACCAGTTTTACAAAAAAATCATGCATTGTGGGAAACAACTGCTCTTCATGGGGACCAAAGTCAAGTCCCCATAAGGAGAAGTCTCGTTGGGGGGGTTAGAGACTCATGAGTCTAACAGTCTCAGCTGTTCCTCAGTCTAGTGGTTCTACACTTAATGCTCCTTATCTTCCTTCCTGAGGTGAGCAGGGCAAAAAGTGTGTGTGCTGGGTGAGTGGGGTCCTTCATGATGCAGGTGGCCCTCTTTATTATGTATTTATTATGATATTATATTTAGGGATGCACCGATCCACTTCTTTTTTTTTTTTTTTTTTTTACTTCCGATCCGATCCCGATACCTAGAACTGAGTATCGGCCAATACCGATCCAGTTCCAATATCATGATCATCATTGATTTTATATGAGGCTGTAATAATCTCCTCTCAAGTACAATTTGTACAAATATATGCATGCATGTCCAAAAAGGCAACTTGAGGTAAGTTTTATTAATGTTGGATAAGTTTCAAAGTTAGAATTAAATTCTACTAACACAAAACATGTTTCTTTTTATTCCTAGTTTTAAAGTGGATATTAAAGTGATTAATTTAAGTGATTGTTTAAAGTTATTTTATATTTTATAAGGGGCAGATATAAGAATTTTTTCTTCTTTCTGCACTCTTTTCATTCAATGTTTTCTTTTTGATGATTTTTATTTTTTATTTTGTTTCATTTAAATGAATGAATTAATAAATTAAATTAAATGTTAAATGGCTTCAAACACCTGCTAAGTTCATGGCATAAACCAACAGACATGTTCCTGTTTTTAGTATTTTACATCACTTTATAATGTAGCTGTTTATGTTTTTAATATATATAATTTTCAAATCATGTTTTTTTATGATTGTTTACTGTTGTACTGATAAATATCTCCTGGAGGGTAAACTATATCTTGGCTGCAAGTATCAAGCTGAGAAATCCTTCGTTTTCTACTGATAGTGGTTGGTCATTAATCATGATGAAGTTTAGCAACTTCTCTGTAAAACATTTGAGCTCCGTGGTTTCAGCGACGTCTTCTTCTTGTTCAGTCCGAAGCAGGCAGCCTGATTTGGGGCAGCCACGCTCAGTCTGCCCCTCCTCAGAGACGGGCAGACTGAGCGGGGCAGATTGGACGCAGCTGGCCGGGTTTGCGTCGCCTCTTTCGGTTTGACCAAAGAGTAGCGCCCCGCTGAAGCCACGGAGCTCGAATGTCCATCGTAAAACTAACTTTACCGCTGTTTAATGTGGCGCTATGGCTCTGCAGACATTGCACGTTGCTGCATTGCTTTGTGGTGTTTAGTGTAAAATACTTCCACACAGCGGACATGTTTAGATGAAAAGTTTGTTAGCTGTTAGCCACAGTGCTGCTAACTCAGTCCTCACGTTGGAGCTGGCTGCAAACTATGAAATGGATTTCCTGAATGTGAGGCGGGACTTATTACTCTGGGTTCATGAGACACGCCGCCGTTCAGGAAATCCATTCCATAGTTTGAAGCCAACATGCATCATGGATCAGAAATATCGGCAGGTGTATCGGAAAAATCCGATACGTAAATTATGCTGGTATCGGAGGCTGATACCGATACTGGATCAGATCGGCCCCATCCCTAATATATTATATTATTATTTATTTATTAGTCTTTAAGACAAAAAAAAACAAACAATGCCTTCCTGCACTTTGAAATTAAGTTAAATTCATTTTTGTGGCATTAATTGCCATTTTGCCAAATAAATTCTATCATAGAAAGTAATTTAGCTTTGGATGACATTAATTGTTAAGAGAATGTTCTTATTAGGCCTGTCACAATAACAAAGTTTGTTGGTTGATTAATTGTCTCAGAAATTATTGCACTAAACGATAATATTGTTTGAAATTTAACATTAATTAATTGTCAAATTCTAGAAGAAATGTTGATTTGTTTGGAGTGTAGTACCTCTTTTGACCACATGATGGCAGTATAAGACTGTTTGAACCAAAGGATAGATAGTTGAGCATCGTGTATTTTAAAGAAAAATGGGAGGGAGGGCCCTTGATGTGACATGGGCTGACATGGTGGCATGGTGGACACTGTGATTTGAGCTCTTTAGCATAGCATTGTTCACACAAAGCTTTTAATAAAGAATCAGTAAACAAGTTCTCAGCTTCTTTTTGCAGAGAAAAACAACTTTTTACACAAAGGCACAGGTTTCAACTGTGAATTTTGGAGCTTCGACAAGACTAAGGTTTATTTCCGAGGTTGGCCTGTTAGCTTAGCTCGTAGCTTAGCTTCTCAGCTTAGCTGCTTTTAACGATCCAAAAATGCTATTTTAAACTGTTAAAATGGATTTTAAAGAGAAAAGAGAAACCATACCATACCATACCACTTTATTTATAAAGCACTTAAAACAGCGACAAGGCCAACCAAAGTGCTGAAAAGGGAAAGGGAGGGATCAGTTAAGAGCAACAGAGTTGAACCGTGTCTTCAGTGGAAAGAGAGAGACACAAAGAAACGATAAAGTCAGTAAATGAAACTGAGGTTGATAATTTTCATTCATCATGCGATTGATTGATTGTTTATCGCAGCAGGCCTAGCTCTTATTCTGAATTAAAAAGTGATCTGCTTCTTTTCTTGGGCTTCCTATAAATTCATGTTGCTGTTGGATTAATTGAAATGTGTTTCTGCTGATTGTTCTCAGTATATTGAACGTGTTAGGCACGTCCAAATGTTTGAGCGATCTTATCTCAGTTTATGACAACATCCATTGTTTTTGTTCTTTAAGATCATCCTGATCGAGAACAAGGAGGAGTCTCTGGTCAGAGCCCAGCGGCGCAGTGCTCAGCTCGGCCTGACAAACATCGGCTTCATTCAGGCCAATCTGGATTATTTCACTGGACAGTTCCACATTGGGGTGAGCTATGAAATCACTGCTCGCCGCCGGGAAAGACGGGCAGTGATGTCTGTGGTGTGTGTGTCTGACAGCAAAATATCTCATCCAGCCGAGATTTTTAATGAAACTCTCGAAATGTACTCATAAAGTACTCATAAATTCTCCAGTTTCAGTATTCTATGAAGCACAGTAGACTAAACAAAGATAAGAAATGCTAAAAATCACTGAAATACTCCGGTTATTAATAGGGATGCACCGATCCACTTGTTTTTTTTTTTTTT